GGAACCCCTCTGAGCTGAGGACCGCGCTGGACAGGCAGGGCAGCGGCTCGACGCCTCAGACACAGGGACAGTGATGACAGTGACGTAGAACAGGAATGGCCCAAACAGGCTGAATGGAGAACTCTCTTTCTTTCTCTTTCTCTCTTTCTTCTTTCTTTCTTTCTTTCTTTCTTTTCTTTCTTTCTTTCTTTCTTTCTTTCTTTCTTTCTTTCTTTCTTTCTTTCTTTCTTTCTTCTCTCTTTCTCTCTTTCTTTCTTTCTTTCTTTCTTTCTTTCTTTCTTTCTTTCTTTCCTTTCTTTCGCTATAGGGCACATGCACTTGCCGGAGACAGAGGGGACAGACAGACCGTGAGAAATCGACCCCCCGCCCAGTGCAGGGGAGCTGGCCGCACCACAGTCTCTTCTCTAGTCTCCTCTTGGGCCTTTAGGCACTCATACACACGCTCCCGGCACGAGTTTTAAGCCCGGAGTCTCTACCCGGGAGTGCAGTAAGGTAACCATTAAGCCACCTGCTGGCCCCTAAATAAGAAACTCTTTAAACGAGCAGAGCTTCGGGGACTGTGGTACGGTACCAGCTGGTCTGTCATGCGATGCGATCCCACGAGGAGAGCAGGAAGGGGCCCAGAAAGAGAAGTAAGGGGTGGCAGGCTGGCCTGGCACGCCTGGCACGTGGCGATCCACTGCAACCACACACCAGGCCAAGTACAGCCTGCCCAAAACCCTGCCGGGAGGGCGGATACAGGAAACTGCTGCATGACCATGGCCCCGGGGGGTGCTCTCACCCAGGACGGGGCAGGAGAAAGGAGACCAGGAACGGCACAGACAGAAACAAACAGGGAGACGGTCGGTTCAAACCCAGCCGCACCACGGCCACACCAGGAAACAGCCGATGAAAAGACACAGATTGTCCAGCTGGATTTCAAAAGCGAGACTAGCACTATGCCGTCTACACTTCAAGACCAGATTTCTTTTTTTTTTTTTTTTTAAGAGGTTTTTACTATAGGGCGCGTGTGTTCGCCAGACAGACAGTGAGAGAGATAGAAAGCGAGAAATCACCCCCCAGGGGGGATGGCCACGCCGCAATCCCTTCTCCTCCATTCTCCTCTCAGGATCTTGGGCACGCACACACACGCGCCCGGAGTGAGTTTAAGCCACTGGGTCCGGGATGCGAACCGCGGTCGACTACGTGGGAGTCCAGCAACATAGCCATTATGCTAACTGCTGGTCCCAAGACCAGATTGCGAAGGAAATGGAGAGAGACGAGTGTCATGCGAACGCCGAGGCCCTCCACCTGCAGGACTGCATGCCGTCAGCGATCACCCCAGAACAGGAGCAGTCTAGGCTCCATGAGGAACGCTAAGTTCGGCCTGGAGCTGGTCACCTCGTTCTGGGGCCTGCCGGGTGCTGTCGGAGATGGCAGAGCAAACCACCGAGGGCTTCCCAACACGCACTGCCAGGTTCCACCCAGAGCCGGCAGGCAGCAGGCCTGGCTCCCACCTGTCCAGGCAGGCGCAGCTGCTCATCTGGGTCCACTCTGGGCTGCTGCCCTTCTCCAGCCGGACGCTAGAGGGGCAGGAAGGGCACTGAAGTGCAGGGACTGGTTCTCAGGAGGTGGGTCCACTGGGAGTAAAATTGGGATTTGAGGTCAAAGGACATCTACGATCTGTCTCAGCTGACCGGGTGTTTTTGTTTTTGTTTGGGGGGGGCAGGAAATTAGAAGAAATCTGGTGTGAAAACAAGCCCCATTTAGCTTAAACCTGAAGCACAGCCCCACACACATGCCGGGCTTGGTCTCAGCTGCAGGACTTGGGGTGTGTGGGCACCGGGAGGCATCTGGCCAGGCTCCTTGTCCTGAAAGGAGCCCTGAAGACAGCCTTGGGGCCAGATCAGTGCAGTTGGGATCTGAGAGCAGGGAGCTTCCCGGTGGCGGTGGGAAAGGCGCCCACGCTGGGCACCTCCTCCGGCGTGGACAGGGCTTTACGGGGATCCCCACCTCCTCTCTGCATCCTGCTCTTGGTTCTAACTCCAAGGTTCCGCTAGACCAAGAGCTGGAACACGGAAGAGGCCCACGGTAGTGGGTGTTTAAGCATCCCGCCGGCAGAACGCTGCGGGTCGTGTGGCCCGGGTGGGCGGCTCCCTGAACCTGCGAGTCCCACGGACCCTGTGGACAGATTCCTGACCTCCACGCCGAGGGTTCGAGGGTTCGCGGCCAGCGCCGCCCGCTCGGGCATGTGCTGCTGCCGGGCGGCCCCAGCGCCCGGTTCCTGGCAACGCCGCGGCCAGCGGGTGGCTGCAGGTACCAACGCCTCTCCGCGGCCGGCCGAGTGCAGGTGTGGCCCTCCTTCTCCGCGCCCCGCCTCACTCGTCCCAAGGACTAACGCCCGGGTAAGGACGGGGCTCCGGGCGGCCCGCAAGGTGGGGCGAGGGCCGGGCAGGGCGGGGGCCCTGGGGGAGCCGACGCTGGGGTCGGACGAGCGGATCCGGCAAGGGGCGCAGGGCTGGTGTCGCCCATGGCTGGGCCGGGGCAGGGACACAGGGGCTGGAAAAACCCAAGGCCTGGCGGGGGCCAGGGACGCACG